GCCTTTTGACATCAATAAAGGTAACATTTTGTCGTGATCAATCCATTATTGGGAATTTGAGCCTCAGGTCAGCGATGCTTCTCCCCTGCGTGATATTCGGAGAAATTTTAGATGAATAAAGCTTCTTGGATATTGCGAATGAAATCACAAAACCATCTATATGCGCATGGCTGTACCCGAAAACTTTAGACACCAATGTTACAAAGCTGTGATTGCTCTAGTTTGTGACAATAGTGCTTGTTGCTGATCGAGTTCGGAGAACCTTGTCCAAAGCGACTTTGGAACACAAGCGGAGAAAGATCGGCGTCTGAAACCTCAAAAAACGTAAAAAACCGAGTTCATACTCTCTGTCGCGCTCGGCGAAGAAAACTGCGCGTCGCTGTCGCGTTGCCGATCAGGGTACGCTTGTGCGTTTCGAATTCGTCAAAAAAAGTAAAGATGAGGGTGGGGGGGGGATGAAGAGTGATGCGCCTTAACACACATTTGGATAAGCTTACAAGGAAAGCATGTTTAGTCGAAGTGGACTTTTTAGTTGGAGTGTATACGATACTGGAGAGCATTCTTAGATTCTTTTTAGACAAAGTGCTCGTTCTTTTTACTTTGCTAGACAGGTCTAAAGTTTCGAGTATTGTTATCCATCCTTGATTTGTTGGTCCTGAGGCTGAGGGAGGTGGTTTTTATGCGTTATGGCGTTGTTTAAACCTTCTATTTGACCTTCTCTCTTTTTATGCACCTTGAGCGTATTTATAAAATCAAAAAAAATATCACACTTGATTGCTTTCTTGAGGGCTACTAAGATTTTGGTGACTCGTTCTATCCTAAATGTTTTTTGCTCCAATAAACGCTCATAACTCCTCGTCCATAAACGTTCCGCAGGTGAAGGGAGATTTGGAGCCAGCGTTTTTTCATTTGATTTTAGCTTCAATAAATCCAACTAGTACATGTTCCGCAGATTAGGCAGACACATTTGAAATCGTTTGCGCCCTCCAATATTTTATAAATTTTATCTAAAAAGGTCACTTTGACTAATGCTTCCCTTGTTAACCTTTCTATAATAAATAGAAAACCCACTCCTGAATGATTGGAATCTATCAAATAATTAGACTTACCCATGGCTTTTTTCTTGGAAAAAAGTGCGGATTCTCCACTGCACTTACCTAAGCACTAAACAAAAAGTTCAAGTATGAAGTGAAGAGTAGCCAGCAAATCAGCTTTAGTCTGATTCTTTGAGCTTTAGCGGAACTGTGTTTTATACTACTGACAAAATTTTCGCGTTTATTGGCATTGAAATGCGGCGACTAAAATGCTGATAACATTAGTAACACTCTTCGTTTATTCCTCCAGCGATTGAGTACACTTACACAATCTGTCTAAATTCGCGGATCTCGCTCAAACTCGTGCTAGAGCTTGCTCCAAATAGTGATGAGTAAAACGGCGCTAATTTCACCCCTTGCTACATTACCTTCATATACGGATAGTCAAACGATCGGGGTATTTATAATTCGATTGGATGGTTGCACACACAAGAGAAAGGGAATAATCGTCCTGAAAGAAGCTATGGAAGTAAGCAAGCGGGTTATTAACAATCAAAGAGTGTGCACATTTATTTGGGACACCCTGTATATGCCATCGGTTTCTGTTGCGCGCTCATCCAAAAGAATTTATGAGTATTCCTTGCCACCAAAATTTGCGCTGTTTTGACGACAGGATTCACCAATATCGTTGAATTGTTCATCACGCCCTACAAAAGAGCGTCTAGATAAAATAAATGTATATCAAGCTCAAGGAAACTGTCTTTGATATATCGGAGTCTAAAAAGTCAAACACTGACGGTTATGACCGCCTAGATCTCGTGGAATTGAAATGGAAAAATGACCATAACTTCGGTAGATAGCATGTACGACTCTCGATAAATCTGGGCAGAGTCGTAATCATAATTTAGCTTAAACATAATCAGAATCATAATAGTAATCATAATCTCGAGAAACCGAAACGATAGTCAATAAAGTTTGTACCAATCCCGGCGTTGGCTACCAGGGCTAGGCACAGGTGCTCTTATAAGCAAGCTGGATATCGTTTTTGGGACAAAAAGCAAAGGGGTTTTCGTTTTTGTGGCCGAAAAGATACAAAATTTGCGACGTTTATTTAGTGGACTTATCGTTTTTTAGGGATTTTTTAGGGATGTGGTCTAGCGTCAAAGGGGACTCCGTAAAAATTCACAAACAAAGGGGACTTCGTTTTTCACATTTTCAACTAGCCGCCTCGTGCCGAGCCCTGTTGACTACAAGACATCGATCTCGATCATAACTTTTTCAAAGAGTCAATACCACTTTCAGAATTGCAAAATTACCGCGAATTCCGTGGAATTCTACAAAAGGAATGCTATCGAATACCACTTACAGGTATCTTTTACGTTGAATAGGCGCTGCGTTACATCCTTTCTACAGGATCTCCGCAGAAGAATTTGAGAAAACTGGAAACGGAATCGCGTTGATTTCGCAAAATTCCTGGAATTTCTCGGAATTCCCGAAATTTCGCAGAATTCCGATAATGTCGCGGACTTCCTCGGAATTCCCGGATTTCCGTAGAATTACCGGAAATTTTGCACTTTTGAGATTGGTGTTGTAGTGGAATCAGCGTTTCAAGTGCATCTACTGGTGCACATCTCACTGCTAAACACCATAGTTACTAACAGGGAGAGGATATTTAATCGAAAGCACCAATCCAGATGAGACATATAACATCTTAAAGCGATTGAAATGCTGGTTCAAAATCTGTAGTTTCTAGCAGTGGAGCGGCTTTGCAGAAGGAGTTATGAGGGGTGTTTCCCTTTGAGGTTGAGGCGCCCTCCAGCAGGTCTCCCCTTATCTATGGGCACTGTAGAGGAGTACCAACCGGTGGCAGTAAGTAATTTGAATGAGAATTACAATAAGGATTATCATATTAATTTGGTTTTATTAACATTCCTAACTTCGATAAGCATCAATATCATCAGATATTCAGGCTTTAGGGCTCCAAAGCCATTTGGAAGCCAATTTTGCACACTTACCACTAGGCCGTTGCCACCAGTTGGTGCTCGTCTACTGTACTCATAGATAAGGGTAGATGGAGGGCGCCTCAACCCCATTGGGAAGCACCCCTCGTAACTCCTCCCACAAAATCGCTCCGCTGCTAGAAACTACAGACTTGGAACCAGCGTTTCAAGGCTTTAAGATGATATATGTCTCATCTGGATTCGTGCTTTCGACTAAGCATCCTTTCCTTGTAGTATCCTTCCCTTGCGAGATGTGGCTCTTTGTATTTTCACCACTGTTTCGATTTGTACGCTTTTCGGTAAGATTTTCAAGTTCTGCCATAAGCCCTTTTGACGCCTATTCCAGGCTTGTGTGGTAATATTCTTTCCAAGCTGTAAAGTTCTTGTTTTGATCGAGCGTTATCCACTTAAGAAAATACTGCGAGAAGTTTTACACCAACAAGGTAGTCTTTTTATCATTCACGAAACGTGTTTCAGTAAAAGTCGGAAGTAAATAGACTTCGCTCTAATGTGAGGAAATTTCGCCTACGCATTTCTGTAGACATCCCTAATATCTACTATGGGTTGATCTTTGAAGGAGCGTTTACATATTTAGGTTCCACCATTCAACCTCTTCATGGATACGGTGAAGCATGGGCTGCTTTCTAAATAATTCGGTTACTTCTTTTTGATTCCTACAAAGTGGCGGGATCCTCGCTGTAGCATGTAAAAGGTAGAGCAAATGTAAGTGATAATTGACACTAATATCCAGAAAAGGGATTTGCATGAGTTAATGCAGAAATACTTGCATGTGCATGGATCCTCCCCCCTCCCCCCTTATTCGTACTCCAAATGTTGCTTTTAATTTGTGATTAGGTGCCGAGTATGATCGAGTTGTATTCCGACCTACTCAGACAATTATTGCGAGCATCCGCGGCTCTTAATAGGGCCTTTTGGTGGCGCGCGGGCGTTGAATTTTAATACTGACCATCCGCGGCCCTTAATTCACTTGCTTGGCGAGCCCCGGCTCAATGTTTTCGCTAGTTAAAGACCGCGGGTCTTAATTATTCTACCGGGACACCCGCGGCCCGGGAAAAAACACTCGGACGGGCCACGGACCTTATTGAAAGCAGCCGCGGGCCTTAATGGGCGCCGTGCTCATCATTTTCGGGCGGGCCCCGGCCCTTCTAGGCAACGGCTTAACAGAATCAGTCTGACCAGCCGCGGGCCTTAATGGGCGCCGTGCTCATCATTTTCGGGCGGGCCCCGGCCCTTCTAGGCAACGGCTTAACAGAATCAGTCTGACCAGCCGTGGGCCTTGCCGGACGCCGCAATTCTTACATGCTGTAAGTAAAAACGTTACTCGCGTGAGATACGCCGCGCTGATAGAGGTACCCTCAACGTTTATACCGTTGCTTATCGTTTCTGGGTAGTGGCTATAGCAAAGACGGTCTGCTGAGGTATCCTCCCCTAGGGCCACTTGAAGTTGGAACCGGGGCCCTACGAGGGAAGACAAATTCTGGCGAATACCCTGACCCATGCGCGAGGGCGAGGAAAATGGAAACATATGTTCAAAAAATGGAATAAATGTACATTGTACTGCGTTTAGAAACTGCGTATCGGGCCCGCGGATGCATATCGCGCATCAGTCGGGTGCTTGTCTGGACATCCGCGGGCGTCTTTCGAGCGCTTACCGGCGCATCCGCGGGTAACTCTCGTCTGCTTAGCGTGCGTTTACTCTACCACCCGCGGCATGGATGAAACGTCGGCGCGGGCCCTTCCGCGGGTGGTCGCAATAATTGTCTGAGTAAGTGAGTGGGGATTCTACTTCCGAGCGATATCACTGAGTTTTCATTATATACTTGATAGCATTAAGTGTATGGGATTGCGAAAATTCAACTGAATGCGGTAACGATTGAAAATTATGAAATCTTTATGCGACAATTCAGTCAAACATGCATCTATGATAATTTGTGAGTAGTAAGTTTGGAAACTTGCCCGTAATTGATTGAAACAGTGGCCGAGACAATTCAGGCACGCTTCCTAGTTGATCAGACAATTTTTGAATCTATTGCAATGAAAGCAATTAGCGACAGGACCTATTCTTACTTCTATATTACTGTACGTGGAGCATGCTCTGAAATATACACACAATATTAGCATTTCAGTAAATTTCTCATATGTACACAGAACATCTTTGTATAAACAAAACAATATATCTAATTATCATCTAAGCAAGAAATGAATAGGTTCTACCGTCAGCCAACGTGACTCAGCGTTTGTCGGACAGCGGTTTGAACGAGATCGCCAGTGAAATTTTCGTCCAGTTTGAAATAGGTCTGCACCCGGAGGTATCTTTCGTGGAACGTCAATCTAAAAAATGTCTCAGATGCAGAATGCTGTAATTACTTATCTCAGTCCCAGATATTTCAGACAAAATGGTGATACACTTACTGAAAATTTGTTTTAGTTATAAGTGGCTCCAACGGTATACGACTTTCAAATTTCGTAATCAATCATTGGCTTTCACTATAGATTATGAAATGTGTTTAGCAATTTATAAACTACAAGCCTTTCCGATACTAATAGAAGGAGGGATATAGCGATGACGTGACCACGAATCATAGGGTTGTGATAAACCACTTGTTATAAGAGGAATGGAAGAACCGTTAAAAAAGACCGGAAATTCCTTAATACAGTGTCCCAAAAAAAGGTGCACACTGTTTCATCGTTAATAACTCTCTGCTTTAAAGTCCCTCTCGATCTTTAGGTACCATTCTGTTGAGCGAGGTTCAACTTAGATTTATAGTATGGAGCGAATCGCTCTTCGTTACTGTAGGACTAGCGACCCTACGGGTCGCTAGCAAGTGGGTCGGGGCAGATACATATAAAGGCTTAGGTTTGACTAAAAATCTTTCTAAATAAGTATCCTGGCTCCTTTCCTGAGAACATTTCTGCGAACATTTCTGCATTCTACAAAAGGAGAACTGCTCGAAGAAGCGATAATCTCCAAATCATTCAGCATTTCTCGAAATTCCTGCTACATCCATGCATGATATTATTTTTATCTCGTATATGCTTTTCATGAAAATCTCCCTCCTCACAGAGACATTCAGATACCCCCCCCCCCACTTTTCTACCCTCTCAAAGAGAATTTGCTCTTTCAGTTCTTCTCAACAAGTTCCATAAAAGATCGTTGAGTAAGTAGCAGAACATATCGTTTTGGAATTAGAAATACACTACAAGAATTATGTGTATTACAAAAAAACACTTTTCTCTCAGAATCAGTTCCGACAGCAACGAAATCAGTCGTCTAAGAACTTTGTCAAAGAATCCTTCAATTTTTTCGCCAAAGCAATATGAAGCTTTACTACAAAAGGGAGCCACCCAAAGACCGTCAATCATAAGAACTGCACAAACGTGTAAAAAATTTGTTTCCCTGTCCGATCAAACTGCCCTACGTGCCGTTTACAAACCAATTATCTATCTGAAAGACAGTTCATGCCCTACGTGCCGCTTGAAGACCGTTAAAAATTACAAGAACTGCCATAACATACAAAAATCTGTTCCCCTGCCCGATCGGGTTGCCCTACGTGCCGCTTACAGACCGAAAGTAACTATTTTCAAAAAGAAATTTATGCCCTACGTGCCGCTTGAAGACCGTTTAAGAATAATAAGAACTGCCACAAACATACAAAAATCTGTTTCCCTGCCCGATCGGGTTGCCCTACGTGCCGCTTACAGACCGAAAGTAACTATTTTCAAAAAGAAATTTATGCCCTACGTGCCGCTTGAAGACCGTTTAAGAATAATAAGAACTGCCACAAACATACAAAAATCTGTTTCCCTGCCCGATCGGGTTGCCCTACGTGCCGCTTACAGACCGAAAGTAACTATTTTCAAAAAGAAATTTATGCCCTACGTGCCGCTTGAAGACCGTTTAAGAATAATAAGAACTGCCACAAACATACAAAAATCTGTTTCCCTGCCCGCGGGTTGCCCTACGTGCCGCTTACAGACCGAAAGTAACTATTTTCAAAAAGAAAGTTTATGCCCTACGTGCCGCTTGAAGACCGTTAGAAAATTACAAGAACTGCCATAACATACAAAAATCTGTTTCCTTGCCCGATCGGGTTGCCCTACGTGCCGCTTACAGACCGATTGTAACTATTTAGAGAGAAAGTTTATGCCTTACGTGCCGCTTGAAGACCGTTTAGGAATTATAAGAACTGCCCCAAACATACAAAAATCTGTTTCCCTACCCGATCGGGTTGCCCTATGTGCCGCTTACAGACCGAAAGTAACTATTTTCAAAAAGAAAGTTTATGCCCTACGTGCCGCTTGAAGACCGTTTAAGAATAATAAGAACTGCCATAACATACAAAAATCTGTTTCCTTGCCCGATCGGGTTGCCCTACGTGCCGCTTACAGACCGATTGTAACTATTTAGAGAGAAAGTTTATGCCTTACGTGCCGCTTGAAGACCGTTTAGGAATTATAAGAACTGCCCCAAACATACAAAAATCTGTTTCCCTACCCGATCGGGTTGCCCTATGTGCCGCTTACAGACCGAAAGTAACTATTTTCAAAAAGAAAGTTTATGCCCTACGTGCCGCTTGAAGACCGTTTAAGAATAATAAGAACTGCCACAAACATACAAAAATCTGTTTCCCTGCCCGATCGGGTTGCCCTACGTGCCGCTTACAGACCGAAAGTAACTATTTTCAAAAAGAATGTTTATGCCCTACGTGCCGCTTGAAGACCGTTTAAGAATAATAAAAGCTGCCACAAACATACAAAAATCTGTTTCCCTGCCCGATCGGGTTGCCCTACGTGCCGCTTACAGACCGAAAGTAACTATTTTCAAAAAGAAAGTTTATGTCATACGTGCCGCTTGAAGACCGTTAAAGAATAATAAGAACTGCCACAAACATACAAAAATCTGTTTCCCTGCCCGATCGGGTTGCCCTACGTGCCGCTTACAGACCGAAAGTAACTATTTTCAAAAAGAATGTTTATGCCCTACGTGCCGCTTGAAGACCGTTTAAGAATAATAAAAGCTGCCACAAACATACAAAAATCTGTTTCCCTGCCCGATCGGGTTGCCCTACGTGCCGCTTACAGACCGAAACTATTTTCAAAAAGAAAGTTTATGCCCTACGTGCCGCTTGAAGACCGTTTAAGAATAATAAAAACTGCCACAAACATACAAAAATCTGTTTACCTGCCCGATCGGGTTGCCCTACGTGCCGCTTACAGACCGATAGTGACTATTCAAAAAGAAAGTTTATGCCTTATGTGCCGCCTGAAGATCGTATATATAAAAAGCCAATTTTACGACTCTACAGAAAGAGAACAACGAAATCAAGTATTTGCAGCGTATTCTCAAACTGCCTGCATGCCACTTTTGGACTTTCAATTCTGAGAACTGCCCCAAACGTACAAAAATCTGTTCCCTGCCCGATGGAATTGCCCTAAGTGCCGCTTACACACCGATACCCAGTTGAAAGCACCAGCGGGACCCAGTTACATAAGCAAAAGCAAGGCTGTTGTTAGATAAACGCTTCCAAAAGTACCAGCGAGACTAAGTTATTCCGCACTCTCTTGTCTACACGCGGAAGCAAGATAATCCCAAAGTGACTGTTGTAAGAGCATTTTTACGAAGAGTTGACAATATAGATGAATTTAGCTCAAATCACGCTTTCACGCAATTTGGCATCATTTTTGAAGCAACTAATAGGAGTAGAACATATTTGAAAGACGCATTCTGGGATAACAAGTTCGATTTTAAAAAGCTGGTACAAATAACACACCCGGACACTGGCGAAACAGTCTCAAAATTATTGCGGCACTCATGTTTGCCTTTCGAAACCCGTGTGACCCTTTTACGTAAATATGCTTGGTCACCCCTTATGAAATTTGGCAGCGTTCCAAAACGCATGCCACTTGGCAGCAATCCAATTCCAAAGATCAGTGTATTTCATCATAATTTTTACGTCTGCGCCCTCCTCGTTTGCCATAATCAACTATCAGAGGATTAATGGGTAAACAACGAATTCGTTATATATTACGTAGTGATTACGATAAGTATTTCCAGCATATTCCATTGTGAAATATGCCATTTGACGAAATTTAGGAAAAAGAACCGGAAAAATCGTGTACTAGAGTTTTCGCTCACGCCGTTTCCACTACACAACTTTTTGCGAGTGTTTTCAGCTTTTTTGATGGCGTAATCACATTTCTGACAAGTGGGAATTCAGTTACTACGGTTTACCTGGATTAACCTAAAAAAGAAGAGTCACAGTAAAGTGCAAATTTCATATGCGAAATCAGCGACTTCCAATACCATAGTGCAAGAGTTTTTGGCTTGTTTGGTCTCGTTCCGGGGCAGAAAGGCTTCCAAAAGGTGAAAATCCTTGTCGAAGTTCCTATCGTACATAATCCTACACTAATGAAGAGCGATCGATAATTCGCTTCATACTGCAAATCTAAGTTGAACCTCGCTCTACAGAATGGTACCTGGAGTTCGGCGAAAGATATCAAAGCAAGGGAATTATTAACGGTAAAAAAGTGTACACATTTCTTGGGACACCTTGCACATCACCAGCAACCCAGAAACATATTGAATTGACGCATAATTTTTGCACCAAATCAGTGAACCCAAAATAAGCCATAGCTATTTTAGCTAAAATATAGATTCGGCTGGATCTTCTACCTAGTACGCTTGAGTTCTCCACAGATGTAAACAGCTGATTAGTCCACTGTTTTCGGCTAAAAACTGACAACTGGCATTATGAGAGAAACAAAATTTTCATTGTTTTGTATGAGCAATGCTGAACTGTTCCCACACTATGTGGTTGTTGTATACTTCATTCCTTTAGAAGTATGAACTTAGATTTTTGGCGTTCTTCAGAACCTGCTTTACGAGAGATATCAGTTTCGTAAAATTTTAGTTGTAAGTCGGGTGAGGACAGCACCTGCTATTTCTCGAAGACTAGCTCTTGTAGAACGCTTAGAATTCATGTTGCACTAGTATAGGTTTGTATCTACAGCTATCGATGTGGAAACTTCACCGTTGTTTGGCAAAATCATGAAAAGTTTCGACTTTTCGGTTGCCGGGCGAGGAAAAAATAAAGCAACTGTATATATGAATTTCTGATGTGGAGATTACACGCAGAGCGACGTCAAAATTTTGGACGAGGTCCCGTTTTCTCAATTTTTTCATTCAGTTTTTGCCTTCAAAATTTCGTAACTCAAAAGTGGTGCACTGTCTGAACACCACCTTGTGAAGCTTCCTCTGCTCTGTCGGATGGCACTATTTCTTAGGAGGAATAAATTTATTGCTGCTTAACTTCATTTGGTGCAAGAATTATGCATCAACCTAGTAGAAAAAAAACGCTTTGTCCCACAATCAGAAAACTTACCGAGGGCTTTTCAACTGCACCCCTAGCATAGTCGGCATTGTTATTCCAAGCTGCAATATCTCAGTCAGTAACTTCTCCAAAAACTCAGCTCCAAAAAGTCCAAGGTCTCCAAATGATGCTTGGTCAACGTCGTTGATCTGTAAGCTGCAGTGTTAGGGGCTAATTGCATTTTTTCAAGTTGTTCAAAAGACAAAAATTGTGTCACCTTCGTTTCTAACAATTTGAAGTCCAAGTTCTCTATAGTTGCGTTTCCAACAATCCTAGTACCATTTATCCACATGAGCACGTTCGCAGTCATAGTTGTATCTGAGCGAATAATCTGAAAGTTGAAGGCTCGAAAAGAGGCTATCAAGTAGCGATTCTCCAGCAACTCTCGCAGCTTACCATGTCCTTTGTTTGTTTCGCGTTGTTCGGTCTCACAAACATATTCATCCTGCCATGAAGCCGAAACCGTGCACGGTTTTCAACAAATACTATCAGCGGAGCCTAGACGGGGAGCTTTTTTGGCTTACTGTCTAGAAAGCGAAACAAAGGTGGGTGAAAGCCTAACTTTTCTAGCAGTGAATACCACTTCGACTTGTCGGTTAGGGTATTGGTCACCGAGCGCACCAAGGAACTCTCCAATGCAGAATCCACTTGCGCAAGTAGTATGAAGCAAATCCTAGATATTGTTTCGATAATGAGTCGTGAGAGTCGCGAGGATTCAAACAAGGGACGTTATTTATCAATAGTACCAACCTTTAGCTGAGGGCTGCTCTCTGGACCAACGACTACATCCATCAAATGCTGTTTGTATGCATGATATAGCATAGAATTTGCGAGGTAGTCCGTCGCTAGGAATTCCACCATATGCACTCCTAAATTAGAACTCATTTTGAAAGAAGTTTTGCTGTTTTACTTGCGCTGGCTAAATCGTTTGATTACTTAGACGTACAAGCTTAGGGTGTAAACAAAAGATTTTCTTTTTGCATTTAATCTGAATAATATGTCTAAAGTCGTGGGCTATGTTGCACACTTCCCACTGAAGCGCTTGAAGCGAAGAGTCTATGGACCACAGTACCTTTGCTTCATGCACAATAGCCGAAATCGCGAATGGGCAGCCAAAAAAGGTAGTAGGATATTGAAATAACATCATATAAGTTTTTGATGCTGATAGGGAATTATTCAATTGCATAACCATTTAGAGTTGTTATCGTAACATCAGCAAGCCGCTAAGCACCAAATTTTGCTAAAAAACGCATAATTATCTTGGAATAATGCTTCGCAGTTAGGAGCAACATATTTGGGCTCAGCATCTCAGAACTAAGTCCGAATATTGTGTGATTTTTCAAATGGCCAGACTAAGCTAACAGGGTAGGCGTCTAACACCTTAATATTCTAATTTCACGCGTATAAAGCACGGGGATTTCTTTCCAAAATCGACCAGCCCAGAAAAGCCAAAGGACTTTACAACCAAAGGACCCTATGCGGTGCTGTATATTGCTTGAGAGAATCGTGCGATGTAAGGATTTCTTTCCGGAATACAGTGAAGCGGCTGAGCGGCTCCCTTGATCGAAAAAGTGCGCCTTATACGCATGAAATTAATGTAGTCCTCTACCCTGTTTAGCCGATTTTGGTAATCACAGACAGTCACTGCGGTAAGCAGAGTATAACATAGTAGGTGGATATCCATGAGTAATAGTGAGTCTAGTTCTATCTTGCCCACAATAAGACACTGATGTATTGCAGAGATTTGGTGAGTATAGTTTAGATAAGAAACCCCCGGTTCGGAACTTTCGGAAAGCGCATGTGGGTACGAGCTTTTTGCAAAATCAAGCGATGGGATCTGAATTTGAGTTTAATTCGCGTGATTTTGTACTTTACTTAATCATGCGAAATTATTCACGGGAGAACTATAATATGGAAAGGAAAAAAAATCCGCGGATAGCTGGAGGCTAATGCTTCAATTCATGGGGATAGTCCACGGTTCATCTCTGTTTCTGGGCGTCACCGGTTGAAACAAAGAAAAAATCAGGCAGTACTCCAATAGCGCTATTCTCATAGACGACTATATGACTGTCAAGCCATGATATATTATAAATATTATATATCAAGCCACGATTATATTATATGACCATCAAGCCATGCCCTCTCTTCCCCTCAATATTGAGAATGTTCGACTAATTAGGTCATGGTATCATGCATGCAGATAAAATTTGCTAATTTTCTTTTTCATTGCTTGTAATAAAGGCAAAAACGGTAAAGGACGAAATCTAGCCCACAAGAAGAATCTTCTATTCCTTATGTAGACTAGTGAAAATGAACTTACCATGTGGGAGGGGCACTCGGATGTTTGGAGGGTGAAAGGGAGTGCCACCGTTCCCTCTCCTAAATACGTGCATTGAATAAAAAACTCCAATAACTAGAAAATATGGGAAGAAATAATGACGCCTAATAATTTGACTATTATTGTTCAAGGCATTAGAGTGTACCCAAGAAATTCAATTCTATAATTCTTCTGATTTTAGATTGGACGCAACGCCTTCCTACTGGTCTCCAAAAGTTGTACTCTTGTGGCCGTATTCATCAACGAAACCCGTGGGTTCCGGAACCCACTGGGGTAGTGCTTTTGATGAATATCGATTCTTCCCTGGAGTAGAATCGATATTCATCAAAAGCACTAACCCAGTGGGTTCCGGAACCTACGGGTTTCGTTGATGAATACGGCCATTGGTGCTCCGCCAAATGTGTCACTCACACATGCAAAAACACTCACCATGAAATCTCACCCTTGGACAGCATGGAGATGGCGCCATTTTGAACAAACGGATCAGTCGTGAGTTGGTAGTCAAGCAGAAGATTTTGTTCTCGAAGATTTTGAACGAAGTGGATCAAGGTAAAGTTCTTCAAAGCTTGCTGACCGAGCTTGCTTTTTGGCTAAATATCATCTCTTGAACGAAGCAAACAATGTCAACGCTGGAAGAAGTTAAGAAAAAGGTTATAAAACTTCAAACGGTTTTTCTGATATAAAGCAATAAAATTATGAGAAATGATCGATTACATGCCTGTGTTGCGAAAACTCACAGCGAGCCTAGAATGAAAGTTTTTTTTTGAATCAGAAGACAGAGAGTACGAAGATGAAGTTAAGTATTATAGTTAACTTCTAAGCAGATTCTTTGTTCACAAATTTCATCAATTAAATGTTACCAGCTCTGAGGTTCACCATATCTGTAAAAACATCCGAAAATCACGTAAACATTTTCAACAGATTTGGTGAATTTTGGATAAAAAATAGATATTAGATAAATAAAGAGATAATCGGCAGAGACCTGCGCAGCAAGGCAAAGAGAATAATTTTGTTTTCTTTTTCTCGATGGCAGTAACCCAAACAATAAAAATTCTTACCCTCGCAATCCCAAATGTCTGACCGATGATATCCAGGTTGTTCTCGTTGATTCTCACCTGCAAATAAGTATTTGAGCAAGCATTTTGCAAGTACTCAAGGCTACCTTCAAGGGCATAGTTGTAAGGAGGCGATTCATATCTTGATTAATTATTGTTTCGATCATTTTGCACATTCTTTGCTCTACCTGTGGCTTGAAATGAGCAATGAGGAATGCTGCAAAGAACACTGGTATAGGAATAGCTTGAAGTATAGGGACTTACCTTTGAACGCATTGATGAAAAAATCAGTGATAACACCAGTGTTTCTGACGTTTAAATCCACATAGCCGATACTCGATTGGCACAGAGCTGATCGTACTTGTGGAGAACCGTAATTGCTCCCAAAAATACAGAATCTCTCGGCTATGATCTTATTGTTAGGTAAGAGCCTTTATTTCGTCTTACTCTCATCATACTTTGGCTTGGTTGAAGCTTAGACAGCAACTAATGATTCGAAAGACATTTGTAGCCAATTTTATATATTAGGGTGTTCCACAATTTTTTACCGTTTTTACCCTAAACATCAGCTTCTGAAACAGGGGTACCTTCAAAGCTCACAAATACATGGTCGTACCTCTGTACGTAACCTTTGATTCAACTACTTGGCTTCGGAAAGGCAGGGCTTTGTGACCTAGTTGAGGCCGCTCGCGCCCGCGACGCACCTGCATCTCTCTCGCGCGAGTGCTCCCTGATCATCACATAGCTTTGTAAATCACAAAGTCCCGCCTTTCCAAAGCCGAGCCAGTTGAATCAAATGGTGTGAGCCATATGATCACGTTTGTGGGAGGAGCTCAGGAGGTCTAGGAGCGGAATTTGCCAATTTACTCTAATCATTATTTTTTATTTCCAGCCATGGAAAAAATTCGAAAATAGTAAATTGAACGTACGATATGTCAAGTCATAGCTAGGATAATTGGGGAATTTCAAAGACATTTTTAGGCGGAGATAAATTTTTTGAAGGAAAACTTCGTTTTCGACTGCTATCAGATTTCAGCTCGGAACCTCCGGTGAAATACGATTTGGGCGGATTGTTCATAGCCATCTCGTAGACCTTGCTTTGCCCTGTCGAATGATTACTCAAGCCACATTAGATGAAGGAAAAATACAAGAGACGACGGTTATAGTAATAATGGTAAAAAATTATGGGACACCCTAATAAGAATTTAAACTCCCTCTGCACTTTTCCTCAATTTTTCTTCCTTAAAAAGCTTTCCAGAGGTTTTTGCGGTCTACTTATGTATACGTTCAGAAATGATACTTCTAGCAGGTAGCCATTATGGGAAGGAGCAATGTTACTGAACAGAAAACATTATGAAAAAAGCTGTAAAATCATATAGGGAGAAGGTAAGAGATTCAGTCGGTGGATACCATTCGTACAATCAAGTAACAGAGACTAAACCTGCAAACTGACCTCTGCATTTGTACAGAAATTGTTAGAGCTACGTGACCCAGTAGAGCTTCGAAATAGCCGGTGATCGGCACGGACAAGAGCAGTGGATTCGTAAGAGAAGCCTGGAATTCACCAGCGGCTCTGAAATGTAGATTAACTTGAAAACTCAGGTATTTGACTCAGTTGTTTACGTTATAGGTGCTGCTAGTTAGTTGGCCTTTTCCGTAACCAAAGAGAAGCTTACTGGCGATACATCAGTTTGATCAAATATAATGAGCTTACTTGTGCTTCGCAGTGTGAATACAAAAGAAGCAAGCAGCACTATTCCGTAGAACGAGTAGAACGAAGCAAGCTCTAGCCCAAAAATTACAGGCCTTCTATTTGATTAGAAAAGTGATATGAGCGCTCAAAAATTTATTATATGCAATGCTGCATTTTTCACTGCTTCGATAGAAAAAATAAGGCCGTAGACTAGCGAACACGATTGTAAGCTAATATCGTATACAGAGTGTCCCAAAAGTATGTATACCGTTTGATCGTTGATTTATCTTTCCCCAGGAAATAATTTGCCTACCTCCAGGCACCATTTCGTAGAACTGGCTTCAACTTAGATTCACAATGGAGTAAATCACCGATGCTCTATTACTATAGGATTACGGTCATAGGTGCGATAGTGTGAGAATTTTCTCACCCCCTCTTCACCTTGAGCCGGGACGAAGGTGGCCGCCTTCACGAAAAACCAAGAAATCAACAGTGAGGTAAGGTTAAGCAAAGGCGATATTTGCACGTGAATCGTTTATGTACAGGAATGTAGGAGTCTGTTGAAAAAAGTGCTTGGTGACGGGTGTGAGTCTTTTTACAACGGTAAAAAAGCCTGTACTTGAGCACTCCCATTATAAAAATCTCACCCACCCTTCACCCGGCACTTTTTATAACGGACCCCAGGCAAAGTACATATTTTCTGAAAGCGGAGGACGAGGCGGTTCCAACGGTGACCATCGCAGCGTACAAGATGTTCATCTACAAAAGTTATGAATTTTTTTATGTTAAAAACTCGAAAATTTTCACAAATCACTAGGACACCCTTCACCCAGGCACTTTTTTTTAACGGACTCCAGGCAAAGTTTATATATTCTGAAAGCTGAGGACGAGATGGTTTCAAGATGACCGTCACGGATTACAAGATATTCATCTTCAGAAGTTACGGATTTTTCTATTAAAAACTCGTAAATTTCTAGAAATCACTACCCACACTCTTCACCAGGCATTTTTTCGACAGACTCCAAGCAAACTATATATTCTCTAAAAGCGGAAGACAAGGTGGTTTTGAAAACATTTCCCTTGCTGATGTTGCTGTTCATCTAAGAAATTACGAAATTCTTCTTTTAAAAATATTCGTAAAAATTTAAAAATTGTCCAACTTTTTCCGAAACAAAAGTTCTTGCATGCACATCTTCTATGGTAATTCCAAAAACAGGCAGGGTGATGTAAAAAAGGAAAAGGAAATGTTAAAAAAATACAAGGTGCTGATCAGAAACATAATTGTGTGCAGTCCAGCAGCACATCGGTTCACATTTCAGAAAAAAGATAACCAGTGAAGGTAAGGAATAAATTATGAACCTTGACTAGGAAAAATGATGAGAAAACACCATGGCTCCCCCCCCCTGGTCGACATTTTATAATTTCTCTACCATGTGAAACACCCTTCACCCTGGAGAGGCTGCAACCACTGCAACCCCCTTCACCCTGGAGGAGTCATTCTCACCTTATCGCACCTGTGATTACGGTACAAACTTCATGAAGGGTTTTGAGCCATTAGGGGCCCTAATTCGCCTCAGAAAGCAGACAAAACAACCTGAAAACTTTTACATTAGGTCAGCTCAACCCGCTAAAACCAAATACGATGTTTGCACTTTACCGCAGTGCTTCCTTCATAAGTTATGCCAGGTAAACCGCAATACTGTTTTCACGGTACTCCTAAAAATCGTTAGAACAATTTGAAAAGCTTTGCAAACTCGTAAAAAGTTGAGTAATAAAATCAGCAAGCGTGAAAAAGCTGGTACATTGCTTCTCAGATTTTTTGGAAGGTTTCTTTGAAACACGGTTAATCCGCAATGACGTCGTAAACTGAAAGTTCCTACTGTAATCCTACAGTAGTGAAGAGCGATTGGTGATTCGCTCCATACTGCAAATCTAAGTTAAAGCCAGCTCTACAAAATGGCACCTGAAGGTAGGCAAAAGACTTCTTGGAAAGACAGATATTAACGATCAAACAGTGCGTAGATACTTTTGGGACACCCTGTATATGGTTGTAACAAGCCTTTTCAAATAAAACATGAAATTCTCTCCTGTATGTGGCCTGGCTAGAGCCTTTAGTCGTGGGAAAATATCGTACGTAGCACAAAAAAAGCGGAAGAACCGACATTTTGTAATTTGAATCTATTTTTATATCTTGACTTGAGGCTTCAGAGTCAACAAGTGCATCTCGTTATACCATGTGTCTGCTGTATGATGTCCGAATTGCAGGCTCGCCAAATTTTTTTTGCGGAAATCCGACTTTTAGGGGAATTGAAATTCTTGATAGCTTTCAACCTGAAGTACGCAATTTCTGTGAAAATCCGGCAGCTTCCTTAAAAGCTTGCTTTGCTTCTCCGAATAGTACACTTCATACTTTCTCAATATTCACCCCACGGCTTCGCATAACGCTTATTATTTTTGCATCATTCTAATAGAATAAATTGCACATTATATACTATCTTCAAAATATGGTAAGGAGTAGCTCACCAGCTTTGCAGCCTTGAAAAGAAAGATAGATTCATTGCAAAGACAGTAACAATAACCCCACCGAAGAGTCAGGTAAAAAAAGCGCTGCAGCGACAAGGATTGAAGGGATCAAACAAGTCATTACACTTATCGTTAGTTCTCGTAATGGTGCAGGTATGCAAGAGCTTATGAGTTCCAAGCGAGTTCATGCTGCCGAACCCCTTCGTAACACACTCAACACCAATACTTTTCTACAGCCAATTACCGTCTATCGAAAACCGGTCGTGTAAGTTAGAGCATGGAACGAGCGGAACGATAATAAGCCGCATTATCCAATAGTACTAAACTTGTTTGCTACTGGCTGCAACTGGCTCGCTTTAAATAGTCATTTTATACAGTCGTGCAAGACGGCTGCACGTGACGACTTAGCTACAACAGTAATAAAAAGATTTACAGTCATTCAAAAGAAGTGAATGGGATGTAATTACCGTATATGCATTTTTGACATACTCCACTGAAATGTGTTCGGCTCGATGAGATCCAAAGAATACTCTTGTGGTGGCCAGTACTTAGAAATGTGAGCGCCGTATATAGCGACCTGAAAATTAGATATTGAACGAGCAAGAGCGTCCTTCTCAGCAATGTCTTATGAGATATTATACTGAACTTATATTTCGATTATAGAAATCGTGAAAAGAGCACGACTATATAGGTTGGGCATGGTAATAAAACTGAAGGAAAGATGGAGCATGAAAAACGCTTGGACGCATCAGGACCGCAATGAAACTGTAACTGAATAAGCTATCATAAATGGGAGGCTTTTCAAAATTTGGGGGTTTTCGCATATATACTTGGATGAAAAAAATCAGACGATTTGCACATGGCAGTACGAAAGATTTTTGTCATTAGAAAGGAAGATGAGAGAGAGAGGGAGGAAGCCGCGATAGATGCCTTCAAATTGCAGAGTCAGACAAGCCTTCAGAGAAGTAAAAGTGCTTCATATTTTTTTTGGCGGCCTATATCCATGGAATTTTGAAAAATGAGCGGAGAGGTGTCAAATACTCAAATAGTTCACAGGCTAATTTGAATCTAATCTGTCAACATTTTATTTTGATTTGCATTATTTCAACTGTTAGCAAATGAGTTTCGGTTACAGATTACTCATCTGGGCTACTTTCAGTATCTATCTTTTAAATGCTTAAGACCAAATCAATAAATGTATGAGAAGGTCATCACAAGCTTGTTGAACTAATACTACTCCTTATTTGCCTCGCCTTTACTTGCCTATAAGTGTATAGAATGAGTAAAAACTGATAAATTGATCACTCTGTTCCATATGTATAAAGAGCTAGAATAATCATTAGGACCACTATGATGAGAATGCTTAATTTTGGTGTGTGCAAATAGCCTTGCTTTATTTTATATGGTTCAATTTTTTCCGTTACGCTAATTTCAACACCTTAAGTAATCAAATGGCATTTGCCAGGCTAAAAACCTTCCATAGGCAATTTGAGCGGATGTTCTAAAGCATGCCCAATGTCTGACTATGATCTGCTCGCAACAGTGTAACCAGGGCTCAGCACAGCTGGCACCGGGTCAAGCTGGATATCGTTTTTAGCGCGGAAAGCAAAGGGGATATCGTTTCTACAGGGGCCGAGGCGGAGAACTGCCGCAAAATGCCGCCGGCATGCCACCGGCATGCTATTGGCAAGCTGTCCATCAACAAACAAAGGCGTTGTTTTCAGCCAAAACGCAATAGTATGACACCAAATTTGCTGTGTACATGCGCGTTGGTGGACCGGAACTACGGGCCAAAAATTTATGAAAACTTATGTGAATGAAAGCTGTGCCCAACTTTTTTCTGAATTAGCTGGCACCGTGCCAGCTGGGTGCCAGCTGAGCTGGCACCGACACTTTGTTCACATAAGTTTTCATACTTTTTTGTATAAAATGTATCTACGCTGTAAAAGATTACATACGGAGAAGAAACAGTTTCATAATGTTCTTTCAGCGTTTTATAGCAATTTAAAAACCACTCGGTCCGCTCCGCCTTCGAAAGATCGGCTTTTTCTGCTTCTCAAGATGTGATTCGACCACTTAAAAAGCTCAGAAAGCTGTAAAAAGTTCTTTCATGAAATCAGAAATGCATGAAAACACTACTACATTTTTTTACATAATATAAAAATGATGACGGGTTTTCAAAACAGGTCAAAAGGGACTTCGTACGAAATTTTCAATATCAAACGGGACTTCGTTTTGAAATTTCCCTGGTGCCAGCTCGTGCCGAGCCCTGAGTGTAACTCCTAGTACAACTTTCAAATCTGTAGCTGACGAAACGAAGTGCAGCTGCCCAGCTTTCAGTACCCATAGAAATGATCACTGTTCCATGAACCCTATCAATTTGCAATTGGATGTCGCATTCTCGTAAACTGAGCGCACTAGGAAAGTCTCAACAACTTACTAAAGTTAACAGGGAAGCTTCGAGCATGTCGATTCCAAAACTCAAATAAGCCAAGTATTTGAGGGCTCTGTACAAAATTTTGAGGCTCACCTAGAGTCGATATGCTATATATGTATCGCATGTTTTATAAAATAGCTTGAAAAACTGGCATAGAGTCATTAAGAAAAAGTTTCGACATACATTTTGTTTTTCCATTGCTCCGATAATGCTAAATCTATGACTTAATAATAACGGGCTAAGGATTGTTTACGTCTTTGTCTGTGTGTCTGTGTGTACATCTGTCTGTCACGAAATTCATAGAGCGAGTTGCAGCATATGTCTTCAGCTGAAAATTTGGTCATAGCACCTTGCCAGCATCTATGCCCATCATGCAAAATTTCGTGGGGATCCTTTGGGTTGATGCTACAAAAATTTTGCGTCAAAAGGATCCACACGGCTTTGATCCGGCAAAACTGAGTTCAGATTTGGATTTTTTGCAAAGCCATGATTTGCCTGACAAGTAAATCTGCGCGTTATGTATTCTAGAACAAAAAGTGCTCAAAAAGTTTGCTTTTCTGCGAAAAGGGCACCAAAATGTGGTGACCGCGTCAATAGTCGACTTGGCAAGATTTTACCTAAAAATTTAAAAAGATTTTTACATGGAAATGTAGCTTAAAGTGACTATTATCCTTATGACAACTACCAAGCCAAAGCAAATTCAGTAATCCATTGAAATTCGCGGGTGTTCCTTTGTGAAAAAGTTTTCTTCCTCAAAATTACCAATCTTACGTGGAGATGCTTCAAGAATTAATAATTGTATACAATTTAATTGTGATGTTCAATATCGCGTGGTAAGTTTTAAAATCATCTTTATGCGAACATGAGAAACGCATACGGATAGGAAAGCCAGTGCGCGCACTGGCACTAGTTTATCAATCGCTTTATCACCGCAGCAAGAGGTCGATGACTGTAACTGCCTTTCAGATTAAAGTTTGTTTAGTAGTCGAAAAGATCATGAGGCAAAGAAAGTGGTAGCCATCGTACAATTGCCGGTTTTGACTCTATGAATACTGAAGGTTTGCTACGTGTTGGTATAGGGTCGATTCCGAAAATGGAGTGCGTGAATCTAGTACTCCATCAAATTTAGTAATTTTGTTCCCCGAAATGAGACTGAGCAAATGGAAACCACCGCCCAACCCATGAAAGATGTGCGAGTAGTGATCTTCTCGTTGTACGAAAACCATGAAATGATGACTCTCCGTCAAGCGAAACGCGGACGAGATTGATAATGTGATAAACGACTTTCACAGATAGGGAACAGGATTGATCTGTGTAAGAGATTACGATGAGCATGAATTGTCTAAATGAAAGGAACTGTTGCTTTCGTTAGCAACAGCTGTCTTCCACGTCCGGAAAAAGATCACCAAGCCTTCATATATGGATAGTCTCTGACACGACTTAGAAATCGGCCATAAAAGCAAAAGCTAGGGATTAAGTTGGATTGTGAATGATTTGCATAACTTGTTGAATCAGAGAAGCGTCTGTTAGGATGGCTGCAAGAACTATAAATGGTTTGACAAAGGAAGGAGATGGGGCGGTGTACGAATGTCAAATTGTTTGGGCGTGATTTGAATTTTGTATTGCCCTCGAAGTTCGAAAAAAAGGAAGAGTCACTTCATAAGCTGGCATAATGTGTATCAATCGAAAAGATCCTTAATAATTCTTAATCAGTGTTTTGCTTTGAAAAGTCGGAAAAAAGCCCGAGAACGGGGAAGCATGATTTCTAACCTCGCCTTGTTCAATTCTCTCCCGAATGGTTGGCAAGGACAGCTTGAGGATCTGGTCATTCACCACTTTCATACCAATCTCACGCATATAAGCCAATCCTGTAGGCATAAGCCGCAAGTAGATTCCAGGATTTGTAGGTGAAGTGTTTTGCTGCAAACTTAAATACATAAAATGGCAGTTTTACATATTAAAGGCAACTGTAAATGAATGATGACTTTGAGAATAAAAGTCATATTGCAGTAACACGTCACAAAAAGCAAATGCAACAACTGCCTGGCTTACCCCCTTCTACAAAGACTTTGAAATCACTTGGAAATTACTGCAGTTTTTCAATTATCGGAAAATTTTCATTTGCGTGAAAGGCGATAGTCCGATAGTCACAGCAGACGTCTAACTCTGACTGATTTTCGATTTACTTACGTCTAATAAAGGAGAGTAGTCCTTTTCGTACTGCTGTGCTAATACATCGACGAAAAAAAGCAGCGACGACAGAATAGCGAGCGACATCCTTGGAACGAGAAACAGCATCGCGTGTAGAAGTGGCCCAGCAAACACGCTTCAGGCAAGGAACGTGAGCGCTGCCGTGAATGGCAGCTGAAGCCGACGTCAAGTTGAGTGATGAAGAGGTCCGCGGATAGTGTGGCTGTGGTGTGTGTGGGTTAGTGTCGAACGAACGAAACACGTTCTCTCCCTCGTCTATCGTGTCGCGCTCACTTCGATTGATGTCCCGAAATCGGCGACGAATGCGCGGATTAATTGCGTAACGCACTGATGCTGCCGATCCTGTTCGTCACCGTCGTCACTTAGTCAGCCGCTCGTTGTCAACGTCGACGTCGTTTAGACGCTCGTACAGCGAAGAAACATGGCGTGACACTATGAGACACTTCGCTGTGGCCATCCGCTTCTCTTTATCCTAGACAACTAATTTATGCAACCTATGCAGCTGCAGTGTGGAGCTCATACCTTCTAAACATAAAACCATGTACTCCGGTGACACCTTTGGTCCGAGCGATAAAAGAAATCTTAGTCTTCACTTATCAAACATCCGGAGCGAAGCCCTGGATACAGAATCGTACCAAAGTGACTGTGAATATGGAGGGTAGCGCGAGTGATAACTCGGTGAAATATCCCAGCAGCATCAAAAATGCGCTTTTCTAGTCTTTACAGTGCTGGAAAGATTTTTCTAAAACTCTAGAATTGGCAACAATGTCCCTTACATGGCTGGCTCTTGCACGCTGAACGATTTATTTGAAAAGATTGATGGAGTTCACTAAAAGCCAAAAAAGTGAGCACATATGAGTAAGAGCTGCAGACAAAAATGTGACTTCATCTCGCTCGTCTCCACCTATCGCGCGCTACCTCGCTACCAAGTGGGTTATTTGGCTCTAATACCTTTTTCTCCGTCGTTTTAGATTTAATCCTGGCAAATTGTATATCACCTTACACCTTATTAGGTTGGCAATAAGCTGTGCAACTACTTTTACATAACTGTTTTCTCTTTGAATGAGGCGCAGGCAAATCTTGATATTATGTAGACGCAAAAAATAAGCTGAAAAACCTTTTGATTTTCTACGGCAAAATGGCAAAAATCTACGCATTTTCTTAAAAGTGGTCAAAATCGAGGTTTTACGGTTTTCTAGCAAGAACGAAGACGCAGAAATGGGGAATTGACTAAGTTTAGTGAGAACTGTAAGGGGAATGTTCTCAGAGCTTAGCTACTGAGCTCAGCAAGAAAAGAATTTGAGTTGCAGCCAAATCAAAATCTGGCAATCTCGTGAACACGAACGAGTGGAAGTGCGTCAAAGTCGCCTCGGAGATCCATCGACGAAAAAGAGTCGGAACTATCAAATTTTGTTGAAACTTTGCACAATGCGGTAATCTGACATCCTGAACACGATTATTATGTTCAATTGTTGTCAGGGTTAAATATCAGCCCATTAATTTCTCATGTCTCTTTCATAGCAAAATGATATCATTTTCATAATCAGGATGTCGTATAAGCCTCTTAGTTTCATCCGATTGTGACAATTGCTCCTTATTTCTCATTTGAAAATTGCCCTACCGTAACTATCAAATGCAATGAAGGAATTCGGCAGAAAAGTTGCATTTGTTGCTCACATGATAATTATTAGAATACCAAAGTAATACCAAAGAATGGAAGCGCCACATTAAGAAAGAAAAGTCGCACTCTTGTGCCAACCTATATTTATAGCTGACAACATAGCCGATCCATTTTCTTCACTTAAACTAAAATTGTAACTAAAATTCTTTTTCGGAATTCTACCCTCACTCTAGCTCTTCTGACGCCTTGTGCCTTTGAAACTTTGCCTTTGTTGACGTGAACGTCGACGAGACTTCTTCCTACGTTGCGAAATATTTGGTAAAAAGTGCCACTCCAAAAAGTGCATAGCGCTTTGAGGTAAGTTCGTAAGCAATTTTATCATGTTATGGCTTTATTCAGAATAATAGGCAGAACAACGGTGACGGAAACACAAACGACAAGACAAGAGTAAAATCAGGTCCGGTAGTAATCTGGTCGAAATTCCGAGTTTAAAGCTGCCCCTTAACTCAGAGTTAACTCTGTTTCGTTTTGAAACTCAGAGTTAACACGGAATTTCGTTTCTGAAACTCGGAGTTTCGAACTGCTACTTGCGGAGCCGCTATAGTTGTTGAGGAGTTACCACGCGCTTCATAGCAAAACACCCCGACTAGGTTGGGACTCGAATTTACGTTTCTCGGCGCGAAGTGCCTACCAATAGACCACTAGACTACGGAGCCAATCTTACTCTCACATGTCAAGACACGTGGAGAGGCGTTAGGCCTGCCTGTGAGATGCCCGGCCATAAAGTACTCTAGAGATTCTTTAACATGGGCAGCATAAACCGTAATCAATAACCCGTCCCCTCCTCTCCCCACCTATTTTAATATGCTTTATACTTGATAAATCCAAAAGTCTATGTTAATTTCCAAATTTTTTCGAATGACCTATATCCATAATTTTTAATCTGAACATTGACCATAATTTTGGGGGAATAGACTTTAAGTAATAAACAAAGTCTAGAGGTTATTTGAAAATCGATGTTAGAATTTCAAAGGACCTTGGAATAATATAACAAATTTCAAATAATTTTTTTGAGGTTTCTGTTTACAAGACCATAGAAAATTTTAAAAGTAAAAATTAAAAAATGCTACCTAATATCATTCTTTGCTGAAAAAAATTCAAATAAACTTGAGAATTCCGCCATTATTCCATATGTGCCCACCGTAGTAATTCCCTTTGAAACGGCCAGTATCAATGATTGCACTGCCAAATGAGGCAAAATTTTAGGCAGTTCAGCCAGTGCAGCCTACACACCTACTTAAAACCATCGCATAGTCCGGCACTGAAAAAGAAATAGTACGTATCTAACAGTGGCGGACCGAGGAGGCGGAAGGAGGGGGTGGGGGGCAATTTTTGAAATTTACTTGCGTGGGTGATAAAAACGTGCAAGTTCTTGTAAACATTTGAAATAATTTTGAAAATTATTAAAAATTTAAACTGCCTTGCAAAAAAAATTTTTGGGGGCGGGACTACCGCCGCGCCCCCTTTTTCTAGAATTTAGAGGTTACTAGCTGGCTTACCCGGCTCCGCCGTATCCGGACCAAACTTGGCACACATACACTTCGGGCCCCGGCGGGTGTCACAGTCCACTTTTCGTTATCGATCGATGTCGATTTTACCGATTTTTATCGATTTTTTTGCAGAGTTCACCTACAGGGCTAGGAGTTGGCACAGGGGGGAAGTGAGCATGGGGATTCCGAATACAATATTAGTTTTCAGAATCATCGATTACTTTTATTGATTTTATCGATTTTTTTGCAAAGTTTGACATGCGAGGCTGGGATTTTGCACAGGGGGGTAATCGAGCATGCTGATTACGAACACAATATTAGTTTTCAGGATCGTCCATTACTTTTATCGATTTTACCGATTTTTTTTTGTAAAGTTTGAGCTACGGGGCTGGGATTTTGCACAGGGGGGTAATCGAGCATGCTGATTACGAACACAATATTAGTTTTCAGGATCGTCCATTACTTTTATCGATTTTACCGATTTTTTTTGTAAAGTTTGAGCTACGGGGCTGGGATTTTGCACAGGGGGTAATCGAGCATGCTGATTACGAACACAATATTAGTTTTCAGGATCGTCCATTACTTTTACCGATTTTATCGATTTTTTGAAAATTTGAGCTAGGGGGCTGGAATTTGGCATAGGGCGTAATCGAGCATGCTGATCACCCCCCTTGGGAATGATCAGCATGCTCGATTACCCCCCTGTGCCAACTCCCAGCCCCCTAGCTCAAACTTTGCAAAAAATCGATAAAATCGATAAAAGTAATCGATAATCCCGAAAACCAATATTGTATTCGGAATCCCCATGCTCGATTACCCCCCTGTGCGAACTCCCAGCCCCGTAGCTCAAACTTTGCAAAAAAATCGATAAAATCGATAAAAGTAATCGATAATCCCGAAAACCAATATTGTATTCGGAATCCCCATGCTCGATTACCCCCCTGTGCGAACTCCCAGCCCCGTAGCTCAAACTTTGCAAAAAAATCGATAAAATCGATAAAAGTAATCGATAATCCCGAAAACCAATATTGTATTCGGAATCCCTATGCTCGATTACCCCCCTGTGCCAACTCCCAGCCCCGTAGCTCAAACTTTGCAAAAAAATCGATAAAATCGATAAAAGTAATCGATAATCCTGAAAACCAATATTGTATTCGGAATCCCCATGCTCGATTACCCCCCTGTGCCAACTCCCAGCCCCGTAGCTCAAACTTTGCAAAAAAATCGATAAAATCGATAAAAGTAATCGATAATCCCGAAAACCAATATTGTATTCGGAATCCCCATGCTCGATTACCCCCCTGTGCAAACTCCCAGCCCCGTAGGTGAACTCAGCAAAAAAATCGATAAAAATCGATAAAATCGATATCGATCGATGACGAAAAGTAGCCTATGACACCCGCCGGGGCCCGAAGTGTATGTGTGCCAAGTTTGGTCCGGATCGGTTCAGAAATGGAATTTTCTATTCGGAACATACGTACAGACAGACAGACATACAGACAGACATACAGACAGACATACAGACAAACAGACATTCAGCTTTATATATAAGATAGGCCAGCAAAAATTCTAAGAAGCACCCAAAAAAATCCGGAGTGCGTAATTAAAGTCACGCACCTTCAATTGAAAATTTTTTCATCGTTCCTCTACCCCTCCCCCCCCCCCCCCCCCGAACGAAAATCCTGCGTCCGCCATGGTATCTAAGTATTTAGCAAACAAAGTTCTAAGCAAGATATTTTGATCCATCAACCGTAAATTCCGAAACCCCTCCATGAAAAGAATTTCCATGCGGTTATGATATTCGTGTTTAACGCGCGGAATTACCCCACCAAGTCAAGTTTCGTGGCATTCATTTTGGCTAATCTATCGTGTCTCTACCGTAACCCCGCTGTACA